CATGTGCTGCAGCATCCTCCGCCCTGCCCCTGCTCCGGAGGGTCCCCCAAGCCAGGCCCTGGGGTGCTCTTCTCCCTGCCTCAGAGCTAACCCAGGCTCAGCACTCGCCACCAGCAGCTTTTGTTTGCAAGAAGTGGGTTACAAGTTGCTGCCTTCATCCCCTGCCCAGACCCACCCTGCCCACAGAGCCTCCATCCCACCCCACAGGGACAGGGGGCAGGCAGTGGGGCAGTGAAAGTGGAGAGGGGCTGGCAGCAGCACATCCCAGGCGCTAGGAAAGGGGGAGACAAGGGGGGCCAGGGCACTGATCCCGCTTACCTTATCCAGATCGTAGAGAAAGCCCTGGAGGAGAGAGGAGAGCGGTAAGACGCAGCACAGCCCAAGGAGACCCCAGCACATCGCACCCACCATCCGTAGCACATCAGCAGGGACATGCAGCACCCAGCCAGGGCTGGAGAGTGCATGACAGTAGGACAGGACAGGAGCCCCACAAAGCCCAACACCAAGAGCCTGGGCTGGCCCCTGACGTCCCCACAGAAGCAGGCTCTGCCCTGGGACACAGATGGACCATGAGGCGCCCCAGGCGTGCCCACAACCCCGGCCGTCTGCCCAAAGCACCGCTCCCCGTAAGGCTCTTCCCAAGTGACACTCACCAGGCGTGAATTCCTCTTGGACTCGCGGATCTGGGTGCTGAGCTTCTCCAGTTCCAGCTGGTGGACCTCCAGGTAGGCTCTGGGGGTAATCACACCATGGGGAGTCAGGCTCGGATGCCGCGTCCAGGGCCTCTGCCACCCACAGACCATGGCAGCCCAGCACATCTGGCCCCGCATCCCCACTCCCCGCTCCAGAACCCAGGCGAGGGAACCCACTTGTGCCTCTACGTAGGACGTGATGGGATGCGGGACCCCATGCAGCTCCGGGACCCCCAGGCACTGTGACCTGGCACGTCCCTGCCTGCTGAGAGTGGAGAGCTGCCACCCCCAACCCACAGCAAGCTGTTCTTCTGCCCCACAGGGGCGCTCTGCCTCCAACCACCCGGCCACGGGGAGCCCCAGCACTTACGTCAGGCCCTTCTTGAGAGCTTCGTACACCTCGTCCAGGCGGTTGGGCTGAGGCACCTTGGGTGGTGGGGATTTGTGGGACATTGAGAACATCCTACTGACCCTGGAGCCAGTCTTGCGGGAGACGGTGGGGGTGAAGGGCGAGAGGTTCCTGGGGAGAGAGGCAGAGAAACCCAGGGCAGCCGGGGTCAGCGCATGGCACGGGGCTCCGCCTGGGTGCCCCAGCCGGCTGGGCACCCTGCCTCAAGACATGAAAGACCTCCAGAGGTCTGGTCCACCCAGACCTGCCTGCCTCTCCCAGGGCTCCCTGGCGGCCGGTCTAACCGGCCAGCGGGGCCGGCTGAGATGGGGCCGTGAGGCTGGGCAGCACTGCCTGCACCGCATGCCCGCAAGCCTCCCCAATGCATTTGGCTGCCCCAAAGCCATGGGAAGGACAAGCAGAAACCTGCAAAGCTGGCAGTGGGAAAGAGCGGGGAATTAACCCCATCCCAGTGGGGTTGGAGGGGCTGGCTGTGGGGAGCCTCTGCAGAGGTGTGGGGGTCCCAGGGGCTGGCTGGAAGGAGCAAAGGCAAAAGGAACTGGCACCACCCAGAACCAAGCCGCACTCCTGGAGTGCCTATGTGGACATCTCCAGCCCTGGCCACCCTCCAAAGGGGTCACGCTCTGCTCCATCGCCAGCACCCCAGGCTGCCAGGGGCACGGGGATGCTCCCTGTGGCAGGATGACACATGCCACCGTTGGCTTGATGCCCTACCACCGTGTGCTCCCAGGGATGGGCAGGGATCCCAGTGGGTGGCAGCATGGGAGCATCCTAGGGACAAGCAGTCCTGTCACTCCATCACACAGTGCAGAGACATGGGGGCAGGGACACTCTCACCGATGCTACGCCTTTCCAGGTGCCACCAAACCCACCGTATGGAGCTGCCAGCTGCCTGTTGCCTCCACGTGCCCCACCGCTGCCTCAGGGACCTCCCCTGGCCCACCCGAAGGGATGTCAACCCAGTGCCCGGGACCCAACCACCACCCTTCCTGCCTTGTGCAATGGAGTTGCTCCCCAGCCCAGCAAGGAACACCCTGCTCAGACCAGCTCTTCCCTTCCTCCCTTCCAATGCATCGGTGCCCCATTGGCGCCCAGGAGACACCCTGGGCTCCTCGGTTCCCAGCCCTGGGCCGGACCTCCCATCCTGTGCCGCTCTTCGCAGGAGTGGCCAAAGAACTTCCCCGAATCATTGGTGGGGGGGAATGAATGCCTTGGCCTCCTCCCAAGCCAGAGTGATTTCCACCATCCCTCCTCATTCCCATCCTCCAGGGCCCCTGAAGGCATCTCCCACAAGCATCTCCCCACCAGCCACTTGGCTGCAGGCATCCAAAAGTCCTCCCTCTCCCCTGTCCCCAGTGGCACCTCCGGATCCAGCAACGTGCCGGTGGCCTGGAAGGTGTCACTTGGCCCAGAGGCTGGCCAGGATCTGGGGACAAGAGCCAAGTAGGGCTGGAGGTCTGCTCCCAGGCATGGGGAGGCTCTACCTGCACTTGTGCCCCCCCAGTGAAGGTGCCCATAGCCCGGCAAAGCAGCCTGGCACTGCTTTCCCCAGCCATTGGGCTGAGAGATGTCTCTTCCCCAGCTCCGGTGGGTGCACTGGGAGGTAAGGAGCCTGGCTGAGAGCTAGGAAAAGGGATTACAAGCATAAAAAAGCCATAGTCCTGCAGCCCAAACCCGTGGCATGCCCACGTCCCGAGAACCACCTGTGAGAGGGTAGCCAGGAGCTAGGGATGGTGCGGAGGAGGGTGGCAGGGATGAGCAGCGTGTGGAGTGGTTCTCACCGACGTGAGGTT